AGTCGTAGTCGTAGTCGTAGTCGTAGTCGTAGTCGTAGTCGTAGTCGTAGTCGTAGTCGTAGTCGTAGTCGTAGCTGTAGTCGTAGCTGTAGTCGTAGTCGTAGTCGTAGTCGTAGTCGTAGTCGTAGTCGTAGTCGTAGTCGTAGTCGTAGTCGTAGTCGTAGTCGTAGTCGTAGTCGTAGTCGTAGTCGTAGTCGTAGTCGTAGTCGTAGTCGTAAGTCGTAGTCGTAGTCGTAGTCGTAGTCGTAGTCGTAGTCGTAGTCGTAGTCGTCGTAGTAGTAGTAGTAGTAGTAGTAGTAGTAGTCGTCGTAGTCGTAGAGTAGGTAGTTAGTAGTAAGTAGTAGTAGTCAGCCAGTAGACAGCCGTAGCAGTAGTAGAAGTAAGTAGTAGTAGTAGTAGTAGTAGTAGTAGTAGTAGTAGTAGTAGGGGGAGGAGGAGGAGGAGGAGGAGGAGGAGGAGGAGGAGGAGGAGGAGGGCGCCGCCGAGCTGCTGCAGGTCGCCTCCCCCCCCCGCCTCTGCCCTCCCCCGGGGGGCCCTTCCTCCTCCTCGCCCGCCGCCGCTCCTCTCTCCCCCGGGGGGCGCGGGCCGAGGCCGGTCGGCGAGGGCTGCAGGGCCTTCTCACGCCGAGCCTGCACTCGTGCCCTCCCCGGGGCTCGTCTTGTCTCGATCCCTCCGACTCGACTCGACTGCGAGGTCGATGGCCTCCGATGCCGATTCGCTTCGGCTTCGAATTCCGATCTGGGATCCGATGTCTCAATGGAGGCCTGCGGGCCTGCCGACGCTTGCCGATGCGATTTTTCCCGACTCGGTTGCCGATTCGCTTCGGCTTCGGATGCCGATCTGGGGCCCGATGTCTCAGTGGAGGCCTGCGTTGGCCTGCCGATGCTTGCCGATGCGACTTTTCCCGACTCGGTTGCCGGTTTCCGCCGATCCGACTCGTGTCGATCGCCGATCCGACTTGTCGATTCGATTCTGGGCTCTCCTGCCCTCCCGCGCGCCTCTTTTGTCCGCCGTCGGCGCCTGGCTGTCGATCGACTGGGTTTGTTGCGAGGGGGGGAGGGCTCAGACGAGGAAGAGGTGCCGATGCCGCCGCCCTGGCCCGCGCGTGTGCCCCTCGGGGCCGCCCGTGTTGCCCCCCGTCGCCACGGCCGGATACCCGCTCCCGAGTTCTGGGCCGGAGCGCGCCCCGAGAGAGGTCCGGGGAGGAAGGATCTCGTATGTTGCCCCCACATCTTTCGGAGGTGGATAGACCTCCCACCCTGACACGTCGATTAAGGAATTGGCCGTTTTCGGTTCGCGAGAGGGCGTCGCGGCCGTCATTTTTGCGGGTCCAGGTCCGTCGGTTTCGGTCCCAGGCCGCTATCACTAAGGGGAGGTCTACTAAAGGGAGGTTTGTCCACCGCCGAATCTTCTCGTTTGGAAAGAACCAGCGACGGGAGGTTTTTGTGTTGGCAGTTCAGGGCCTCCGAGGGCCCTCGCTGGGCCCCGGGGCTCCGAACAGCACTTGCCTTCGGACGAGGGGCCAGTTTTTTGGGGGGGAGGGGGCGCAGACCTCCAGGGGGTCCTGCGGGGGGGAGCAGGAGCCACGACGCCGGAGTTCTGGGGAGGCAGGAGGCCCCGGGATCCTGGCGTCGCAAGCTTTTCGAGCCGGGCGTGTTTCTATCCTCTCGGGCCTCGGGACCCCCACCTATCGTTACGTGACGTACGTTGGGGTCCGATCGAACAGCGTTCGGCCGCCGTGCGGGGCACGGACTGAAGCTGGACAAGTCTGCGCTCGGACATCCTGGCAAGGAAGAAGGGAAGAGGAGGAGGAGGAAGCAAGAACGAGCAGAGCCCTAGGTCCCTGCCCACACAGATCGATCCAGCTCGAAACATGAAGCAGAAAAATGGGGGCTCCTGGTCATGGTTTTTTGCGAGGTTGCAATTGTTCCGAGGCGTCGGATCTCAGGGGGGCCGGATCGCCCAGGGGTGGGGTATTACATTTGAGCCGGGGCCTGTCCCTCTACAGGAGGGATATTCAAAAGTAGTAACATATTCCAGGGAGTTTTTTTTTTTTTTGTTTGTTTGTTTTTCCCTCTATTTTTTTGGCTTTTTGGATTTTTTGGTTTGTTTGGTGTGTGTACAAACAAATGATTAAGAACAATGTTTGGGAGTATTTCTTGAGTATCCATATTTTTTCGCACAAAATCCCCCTGTAGGGGGACAGGCCCGACCTAACCCTAATCCTAATAACACGATGAAGACGTGGCCTCACTGAGGTTCCCGTCATTGCACCAGGGATGATGCATCTGGGCGGTCAGGCCCGGATCATCTGCAAGGAAGACCCCCCGTCCCTGATGTGTGTGGGCCCTCATAACTTAGGTCCCCTCCCACAAGGGTTCGGGGTACTTTTCTTGCTTATGAAGTGGGCAGGGGGTGTGGGGGTGTGAGGGGAAAGGGTGGGAAGGAGAGTGGGCGGGGGCGCCATGAGGCAGAGGGCAGGCAGTGTGATTGATGGCGCCTCATTGTCCCTCGCCCGCCGCTGCTGACCCAGACATCTGGCTGCTCCACTTTGTTCGATGCGTGGGCCCTGGAGGTCTGGACCACTTCCTGGGGCCAGTTTCTTGTCCTGAGTCGTCTCTTTACGCTCCCTGGGCCCGGCGAGGGCCCCTGGAGGCCGATAACAGCCCCAAATCGCCCGCTCCATTTTTTGGGGGGGAGTGTCGGATCTTTGGGGATAAGCCTGCCCGAACGCCGTTCCCGGAGGTACTTCTGGTGGTCAACCCTCTTCTACCTGGCCTCCTTCATAGCCATCACGCTTGAGATGCCGAAGACGGGCCCCTCTTTTGCCAGCTTCGCCATCTTGGTTTGTATTCTCGTTGCCTGCATCACATTTCTTTTCAGCCCCCTGGCGTAACCGAAGCAGCGGGACGATTGTTCGCCTCCGGGTGCGACTCGCGCTAGGGTATATATGTATACGCATATACATGTACATATTCTTATGTATCTAGATCTGTATATACGGATACGAATGTATATCTGTCGTCTGTCTGCCTGTTCGTCTGTCTGTCTGTATGTATGTATTTTGGTATCAATGCATGCGTGCACGCATGCATGCATGTAATATGTATGTATGAGTGTAGTATGTTCGTGTGTATGCATGCGCGTACGTAAGGGCGCATGTATGTATGTACGTAGTATGTATGTATGTATGTATGTATGTATGTATGTATGCGTGTATATATACATGTATGCGTGTATGTATGTAGGCGTGCATGCATGCATGTACTTATGCAGGTGTGAATGCATGCATGTAGTGCTGTTGTTTTATGTGTGTATATATGTATATGTCAATGTCCATGTATATGTACGTGCATATGTATATGGACATGTATATACCGATGCTTATGTTTAGGTAAATGTGTGCTGTATATGTGTGTACAGGTATGTGATTATGATTTGTATTCGCATTTGTATTTGTACATGTATATGCATATCATATAGATATGCAGGTACACGTCACTGTATATGTATATCTACAGTACATGTTTATGCGTATGTGTGCATATACATAGATATAAGTTGTGTTTGAGTTTTTTTGCATATGTCTGTACATGCATGTGAATGTGCATGATTTCCTGCCTGCATGCATGCATGTCTGTCTGTCTGGCTGTCTGTATGTATGTATGCATACATGCATGCATGCATGCATGCGCGCATCTATATAGGTAGGTATGTATGTATGCATGCATACATGTATGCATGTATGCATGTATGCATGTATGCAGGCATGTCTGCATGTATTTATGCATGTGTGCATATATGTATGTATGCATATTTATATATCATTATTTATACACATGCATTCACACATACCTGTATCTATGTGTAGCTATATGTATGTAAACACGTGTATATGTATGTATGTATGTATGTATGTATGCATGTATGCACGCATGTATGTATGTATGTATGTATGTATGTATGTATGTATGCATGCATGCATGCATGTATGTATGTATGTATGTATCTATGTATGTATGTATGTATGTATATGTATATGTATATGTATATGTACATGTATATGTATATGTATATGTATATGTATATGTATATGTATATGTATATGTATATGTATATGTATATGTATATGTATATATGCACATATGCGCACATGTACTCAAGTCCCGGTCCGTCCAGGGAGCCTAAGTCTGGACCCCAGGAGGTTTCAGCAGGGCCCGATGAGCGCCCCCAGACGGCCACGATGGGCCCAAGATGGCCCAAGATGGGCTTAAGATGGCCATCCGACGGCCCAACTGGCTCCCCGGATGGGCCAAAGGGGCCCGAACCCAAGAGGCCCCCAGGAGGCACACATAATGTATTTTTTCCTGGGGCGCAGCGGAAGTGCTCTCGTCGCTCCCGTCTTCCCCCGTATCTTCGTATAGTTTTTTACATGTTTTTTGTTCGAAGGCTAGGTTCAGGTTTTGAAAACCCATGCGTTGACTCAGATCGCCTGGAGGTCCACGCTTGTCAAACTGGACTACACTGGGGTCAGGGCCTGAATAAAAAGACACAAAGGAACACCTTTGGCATTAGAAAGAAGCCTTCGCCGTGCCCCTCCCCGCTTCGCTCCGCCTGCCCTCGGCGCGGCCTTCTACTCGGCCTCCGCATCGGTCCGCCGCTCGCGCTCCAGGGAGGGGAGCGTGGCCGGAAGACCCGTGGGCGACGATCGCAGGGCACCCCCGCGCTTTTTCCCAGGGCGTAGCCCCCGCCCAGGCCTGGCCAGGAATCGCCTTGGGGGCCTATCGGGACAGGGCATCCAGAAGTTTGCATGGCCAGAACGCACGATACATTCGCCCAAAAACAGTTTATAGGGCTCCCCCCCCAACAGGCCGAGAAAAAAGCTTGCATGGCCCTCGCCCCGGAATATTTTACAGGGCCTAGAAATTGAGACATCCTTTGCCCGATTCCCGCCTCCCCGCCCAAGCGAAAGCATAGGCTGTGCAACCCCTGGAGGCGACGTGCGAGGCGTCGGTCAACAAGGCGATGATCTTCGGATCAAGCTATCTGGGGAACGAGGGATCATTGAAACAGTTTAAGTTAAACAGTTGTTGTGTTTTTTTCCGCTCCTTATGGGGACTCGATCGGTGCCGACCTGGAACCGGAAACCTCTCCCATCCTGGATTCAGGACTACCCACCTGTCGTTGAAAGTGGGTATGTTTGGTCTCCCAGATGCCAATCTAGTTGAGGCGCCTTCCTACTTCCATGGAGTGGTTTCCCCTTTTCCTCTTTTGGGAACTCTCGGAACCCCAGTCTACTTCAACGCCTTCTTGCTTCGTCCGTCTGCCCACTTCTTCCGACCTGTTGACATGCGCTTTGCTCCGTGATCGTGTGACTCCCGATAGGTCAGGAAGAAAGCAATGAGGCTTGCGCAACAACATGTCCTTGGGAGCAACTCGTGGGCGCCTTGTATACCCTTGTAATTCTGTCTTCAGAGTGCACTAGCGTCGATTAGCGTCTGGTAATCGATGAGATCGTGCCGATTCAGCGTCGATTACCGTCGGTGAGCGTCGATTGGCGTCGATTCATCGTCGATTAGCGTTGATTTAGCGTCGATTAGCGTCGATTCGCAAGAGCCAGCGAGATGGTGTGGGAGGCTCCCATGAGTTGCCGCAGAACATGTTCCATGTATGTGGCGATGTGCACCTGCTGCGTCTGTTGGGGTTCCTGGAGTCTGGGGCGGTCCGCAGATACTCCCGTTACCCTAGAGGCTCGCGGTCTGTGAAGCGCGTCCGGCCCAGGAGGGGGTCACGGGTCACGGGGGCAGTGGGGCACCATGGTGATCGTTTTTTGATTCATTGTTTTGACGATCGACGCGGGCCCTCATACCTCCTCGCCTCCCCCCCCCTAGAGCGGCTGTTTTTGGCGCCTGTTTCAGGCAGGCGGAGTCTCCCCCATGGGACGCACGGTTGCAAACAGTCGCGTTAAGCAGGGGTCCGGAGCCAGGCCCGCCGCCTCCCCCCCCCCCCCCGCCCCCTTTCTGTCAAGACGCTGACTAAGAAAACGCTCGCATGCGTGAGGCGCAGATTTTGGTGTCTTGGCCTCGGAGGCCAGCCGTCGTCCGAATCGTCGGTCGCCTCCCCGCGCGCGATCGCGGTGTTCAACAACAAAAACCACGACGGGAGGGTCTGTGGCCGTTGTCGGCCTCCTGGGGGCCGTCGGGCGACGGCCCGGATCGGGGCGAGCATCTGGCTCTGGGGAAAGGGTTGGGACCTCTGGGGAACTCCAGATTTCGTAATAAAGGGAGGGGGGTCTCGTTTCGGGGGGGGTCTCTTCCAGGCTATCTTGGAGGGCCTGGGGGGGTCTGGGGACGATGTTTTGGAGGGTCCTCCCACGGGGGAGGTCTGAAATGTGGGTTGTCTTGGAGGGTCCAGACTCCCTCCCTTTTATTACGAAATCTGGAGAACCCGTACCGAAAAAAACATCAGGACATCCGCATGTCGGGGTCCGCCTTTGGACTGCACGACGTTCTGAGCGCGGCGCTCTTCCCTTTCCGCCTCCCTCCCGTCTGCCCGCCGCTTCTCTGTGCCCAGTTCGCTTCCAGCGCGTCCCTCCCGCTGCTCGATCAGCGTCTGACTCCTCTTGCGCCCTCGGACCAGCATTCGAGTAGGGGATCGACTACAGAATTGATTTGCCCTCCCTGTTCTCCCCCCTCCCCCTCCCTCCCTCTCCTCTCTCCCTTCCCCATGGGCGCGGACCCCTGCGTTCCTGGCATGTGGCCCTGTTGCAGGGGCGGCGCTCCGGGAGCCTGTCTCACCAACACGACAGTAGAAGCCGCCGGGCGCATGGATTTTCACACCAGGCTCTGTCTACACGTTGCTAGTCTCACTCGGTCTGCCCAGGCGCGCTTCCGTGCGCCGTCAGGGGCCCAGCCCGCCGGCCGGTCAGCAGACTGCTCGCTCGCTCGCAGTCGATCCCCCAGTCGAAACATGTCTGGGTCCGCCGCTTCCTGCTCCTCCCCTCTCTCCCGCCCTCCCGGCAGGCGCGGCCCCGCTGCCCGCCGGGCCGTGCGGCCTTCCCGCGCTGCAGAGCGGCGCGGATCAGCACCGAGCATTAAGTATATATCGTCCAATATCCCCCTGTAGGAGGACAGGCCCAACTCATCCCCTGAGATCCGGGCGAGCTTGGGTCTGGGGCTCTGGCCGTGATTTTTTTCGCGAGGCTGGATTCTGTTTGTTCCGAGACGGTGCGGTGACCTCCTCCTCCTCCTCCTCCTCCTCCTCCTCCTCCTCCCACTCCTCCCCCTCCTCCCCCCCCCCTCCCCCTCCTCCCCTCCTCCCCTTCCTCCTCCTCCTCCTCCCCCTCCTCTCCTCCTCCTCTCCTCCTCCTCCTCCTCCTCCTCCTCTCCTCCTCCTCCTCCCCTCCCCTCCTCTCCTCCTCCTCCTCCTCCTCCTCCTCCTCCTCCCTCCTCCTCCTCGTCCTCCTCCTCTCTCTCCTCCTCCTCCTCCTCCTCCTCCTCCCACTCCTCCCCCTCCTCCCCCTCCTCCCCCCTCTCCTCCCCCTCCTCCTCCTCCTCCTCCTCCTCCCTCCTCCTCCTCGTCCTTCTCGTCCGCCTCCTCCTCCTCCCCCTCCTTCTCCTCCTCCTCTACCTCGAAATCCCCCAGGACCTCACCGCACGGCCCGTCACCGCACGGTTTTGGGACCCCGGAGGCCCCTGTCGCCCGAGCCGTCCTCGGAGAACGGCCCGAGTCCCAAAGCCGTGCGGTGACCCCGAATCCCCACCGTTTCACCACACGGTGTGGTCACCACCCCGTTTGGGGGCCCCCGAGTAACTCAAATCTCCGGAGGCCGTTCGGGACGATCGGGGCAAACCCGGAACGCCCTCGGCGAGGCGCAGCTGCCGGAAGGCACCCCGAGGCTGGAACGCCTCCGAGGACCGGCGCAGACGCCCGAAGACCTCCGGCGTCGAACCTCCTCTTTTTTTCTGTTGTTCTCTTATTTCCCCTTTCATTTCCTTTCATTTATTTTCATTTATGTTTCCTTTCTTTTTTTCAATTCTTTTTCATGTCTTTTCATTTCTTTTCTTTTCATATGTAAAATACTTATTTGTAAAATGCATGTTTGTTTGATTTCTTTTTTGTCTTGCCCGTTGCGCGTAACGTATGTTGCCCTGGCCACTCCCCCCCCCAGGGAGATGGTAGCGATCGTGCGTGGCGGGGGTGGGCTGGTGCTGGCGCTTGTACCCCTCACACGTGTGGGTTCTCGCGCGTCTACTGGCGATCGCAGCGCACCCCCGCCCCGACGTGCCCCACTCCGCCAAAGCTAGGGGAACAAAAAGTGGCATAAACATAAAACCTCGGAGGTCCGCGCGGATTTCTCGGATCGGCGCTGGGCCCCCCTCCATGGCGCGCGGAGCGCGCTGGACCCCCCCCCTTCCGTAGGGGAACAACAAGTGGCCTAAAACAGCTCGAAGGTCCGCGCGGATTTCTCGGATCGGCGCTGGGGCCTCCCGGAGGCGCCTCCGGCGCCGCTCTGGCGCGCTCCGCGCGCCAGGGAGGGGGGTCCAGCGCCGATCCGAGAAATCCGCGCGGACCTCCGAGTTTTTATGTTTATGCCATTTTTTGTTCCCCTAAAAGCGTTACCTTGTTGCCCCTCCCCCAGGGGTAGCGACCTTGACTGGGCACGCTAAACAAACAGTCTCCTCGAGGGTGCCGCGCCCGGATCGCCGAGGCGAGCGAGTCGGGGTGAGGCTGGGCGGCAGGGGTGCGGGGGCGCTCTCGCTCGCGCCTTGCTTCGGCGTCACCCCAGCATACTTATATACGGGGCGTGAAAGCGACCACAGCCACTGCTTTTCTTTTGTTGCCGCCTTCCAGCCAGCAGAAACAAAGCAGTGGTTGTGGTCATTTTCGTTAAGCTTGGCACCAGGGAAATGACCACAACCACTGCTTCTTTTTCGGCCGGCTGCAAGGTGGCGCAAATTAGAAGCAGTGGCTGTGGTCATTTTCCAGTCCCGCATCATACTATATGCGCGTCGCCCCCCCAGGGGCGACTCGCCAACGGCATGTGCGTCGGGGCGGGCGCTTTCTGGCCACACCGCTCGGGGAACGATGCACTATAAGATAGGTGTACTCTCTGTTCGGGTCGGACGCGCGCCTCCAAGGAGGACATGTAGTAGTGGTTATGTCTCTGTGCATCCCATTGTTGCCCCTGCGCCTCCAGGTCAACGGAGGTCAAGGAATGAAAACGTGGCACGGGCGTAAACTGCCGGAGGTTCGCGCGGGGCTCCAGGAGCATAGGTTTATGCCTTGTGACACTTTCTTGTTCCTCTCCTTTTTTCAGCTTCTTCTGATTCGTCTTCTCCTTCTCCTTCTCCTCCTCCTTCTCCTTCTCCTTCTCCTTCTCCTTCTCCTTCTCCTTCTCCTTCTCCTTCTCCTTCTCCTTCTCCTTCTCCTTCTCCTTCTCCTTCTCCGCCTCCTTCTCCTTCTCCTTCTCCTTCTCCTTCTCCTTCTCCTTCTCCTTCTCCTTCTCCTTCTCCTCCTCCTCCTCCTCCTTTCCCTCCTCCTTTTCCTTCTCCTCCTCCTTCTCTCCTTCTCCTTCTCCTTCTCCTCGTCTTCCTCCTCCTCCTCCTCCTCCTCCTCCTCCTCGTCCTTCCCCCAGGGGCTCTGGGGGAGCCACCAGCCCCCGCGGCCAGGATCCACGAGTTCCACTGCAACGTGTCCCCGCTGGAGTCGGACGGAGGCGCCCCTCGGCCGCGCCGGCCGCCGCCCGGCCGCCGCCGCCGCCGCCCTCCCCGGCAGAGGCCCCGTGGCCCGGCCCGGGAGCGGGGGCCCTCTGCCCGGAGCGTTGGTGCGCAGCTCTCCTTCCTCCTCCTCCTCCTCCTCCTCCTCCTCCTCCTCCTCCTCCTCCTCCTCCTCCTCCCCCTCCTCCCACAGTGTAGCCGACCTACCTCCTCCCCTCCTCCCCCCCGTGGCCCGGCCGCCGGAGCGGGGGCCTCGAGACGGGGGTCAATGCAGACGTGGGTCAGCCAGAGCGCCGGATCTTGCAGGCTCCTGCAGGGCTAGGGTCGCATTGACCCGGGCTTGGGTGCAGGATCTTGCAGGATCCTGCAAGGCCTGACTGGCCCGGGTCTGGATTGACCTGGGTCAGAAGATCCCCGACCCTCCCCGCCGTCTCGCTGTGGGATGCAGGAGGGGCAAAACACACACAGAGACACGATGGATCGTTGATTCCCAGGAAGAGATGTGGGAACGTGTGGGCAGTGGGGGGGAGGACAAACATGAGAGTATAAGAGAGACAAAGATGAGAAACAAAACCCAGAAAGTACGAGAAGATATGGGGGATATGGGTGTTTGTGCGTATCTGTTTGTGTGTCCTTGGGCCCCTTCGGGAGTGTGTTCGGGGGCGGACTGTTGCGGCCCCTCTCGAGCGATCCGCGGCTGCGCGCCAGCAGCGGCACACGACGCCCTCCGGCGCGGCTCTCGCGGAGGCTTGGGCTCGCCCTCGGTGCGCGCCCGCGCGCGCCTCTCCCCCGGCGGCGGGCAGGCCCTCGATCGGCGCTTTGCCGGGGGGGGCCCGGGAGCAGTCGCAGAGAGACCCTGCATCGGTTCTAGGCCTTTCATGGGGGAGCAAAAAGTGGCATAAACATAAAAACTCGGAGGTCCGCGCGGATTTCTCGGATCCGCGCTGGACCCCCCTGGCGGCGCCTCCGGCGCCGCCCCTGGCGCGCTCCGCGCGCCAGGGGGGGGTCCAGCGCCGATCCGAGAAGTCCGCGCGGACCTCTGAATCTTTATGTTTATGTCACTTTTTGTTCCCCTATTTCACATTCAAGGGATGAAACACCACCCCGATCCCGACCAGTGGCGTTTGCTAAACGGCCCTGGGCGCTGACCGAACCGCCCTGCCCTGTTCGATTCCTTCCCTTGGTGCGTTGACCGAACGGCTTCGCTTGTCGGGGTGCTTGCTATGAGGGCGGATTTTCTGCTCTCTACACATCAGCGGCGGAAGAAAACGAGGTCATCGTCGCGGACATTGGCGCGTAGGCTGCCCGCGTAAGGTCGCGCGTAAGCGCCCTCGTTTTTTCAATGTAGCGTGCCGCGCTGGCGGCCCGCGCAAGCCGCCGCGTAGGGTCTCTATGCCATCTCGCGCGAGACCCGCTTCTTTTCGTCGCCCACATGGGATCCGAGCAGATGGGGTCCGAGGATCGCGCCGTGATGCATCGCCCGTGCGGCTCGATGTGGAGCACGATGTTTCTCACCGCCGGCGTAGCCGATGCATCGCCGACGTCGCCGATGCTCCGCCGATCCATCCTGGAGGTATCGCCGATGCATCGGAGATGCGGCGCGATCCTCCGACCCCATCTGCTGGGACCCCATCTAGGAGCGGCGGCGAGCGTTGAGGGGGAGCGAAAGGGAGAAGGCCCTCCCAGAAGGCGGCGGCGCTTCTCTCAGAAGCCCCCCCCCCCGGCCTTCCAAGAAGTTTTGTTGGTGCCTTCGGGGAAGGCTCAGGAAGCGTCTCAGAAGGCTCGAGCAAAGGGCCGCCGCGGACGCTCGGGAGGAAAAGGAGGAGGAGGAGGCGGAGGAGGAGGAGGAGGAGGAGGAGGAGGAGGGGGAGGAGGAGGCCAGGCGCTCGAGGCGAATCCGGCCGTGACGAGGAGGCCCCTCCCCAAAGCCGCGCGCCAGGGGCGGCGTCGGCGCCGGGGCCGTGGCCGGCCGCTGGCGCCCTCCTCCTCGCCCTCCACCTCCTCTACTTCCTCCCTCCTCCTCCTCGCCCTCCACCTCCTCCCCTCCTCCTCTTCGCTTTCCCTCCCTCCTCGCCCTCCCTCCCCCCCTCCTCGCCCTCCCTCCCTCCCTCCCTTCCTCCTCGCCCTCCACCTCCGCGCCCTCCTCCCTGCCCTCCTCCCCCCCCCCTCGCTCGCCGCCGAGGGGAGGCCCCTGGCCATGGAGCCAGGCCGAGGAGCGCCGAGGAGCGGCACTGTCGCAGCCTCGCGTCGGGTGCAGCCGGGACGTGCCCGCACGCGGGCCCGAGGCCCTCTCGCCGCTTCGGGGGCCCACCCGCCTCCACGGGGCCCACCCGCGCGTGCTGGGCGTCTGGGGGAGGTTTGCCCGCGTGCACGGTTTTGAGTCGCCCTCCTCCTCCTCCTCCTCCTCCTCCTCCTCCTCCTCCTCCTCCTCCTCTCCTCATCCTCCTCTCCTCCCCCCTCCTCCTCCTCCTCCTCCTCCTCCTCCTCCTCCTCCGGGCTGTTTAATCCAACCTGCGCTGGCGCCGACTATCTAATCCTGGCTGATGGCGTTCAGGCAGTCGCCGCGAATCACAGCAGGAACCATGACTGTCCTTGCCAGTCCACACGTCCTTCAGTATGTTTGGCCTTCTTGCTTTCTTGCTTGCTTTCTTGCTGTCCAGTGATTGCATGGACTCGTGCATGCAGGCGGGCTAAAACCCAGGCCAGCGTCGAGGAGCTCTGGCCTGCGGAAGGCGACCAGTGCGGCTCTGACCGCGTAGCGGCTGGGTGGACTCGCCCAAGCACCGCTGCCGCTGCCACTGCCTTCCTCCTCTCTCGCAGCTCGATCTGCTCTGGCGTGCTGGTCCTCGGGAGGGCCGAGCGGCTCACGGACCCCCCGCTGCTGCAAGGCAAGGGGTGCCTGGAATGTCACGACGTGCTCATCTTCTGCGACCTGGAGGAGCTCCGCGGGGCCGCCGACCCCCCGCCCACGACCTCGGGAACGCCTTCCGGCCTCTCTTTCTGTCTCTCTGTCTCTCCGTCTCTCCGTCTCTCCGTCTCTCCGTCTCGCCGTCTCTCTCTGTCTCCCTGTCGTGCGTCGATCTGTTTCTGTATTGTATGTCTGTCATCCTGTTTCTCCGTTCCTCTCTCTCTATGTCTTTGTGATTTTTTTGTCTCAGCTATACAGCTATATTTACACTTATTCAGTTTTACATGCACATGCACACATACACATCCACACACGTATACATATACATACTCAGATACATAACCATCTACATTTACATATCCTTATGTATATGGACATGTATATATGCATGTATATGTGTATGAACATGGGATTACACATGTTACATTTACGTACACTTTTAGGCATACGTATATGCATGCGTATATGTATATATACTTGTGTATATGCATATGGGCCTGTGAATGCACTATTGTATATATATATATATAGATGTGTACATGTATATGTGTATCCAACAGTGCATGTGTATGTATATGTATATGTAGATGTCTGTGTATGTGTATGTGTATATGTATATGTATATTTGCATGTAGATATGTATGCATACCTTTATGGACCTGTACAGGTATATGCATTTGTCGATTCGCATGTACATGGGTATGTATGCACAGGTATATATACGTATAGGTATTTAAATGTATATGTATGTGCGTGTATATGTGTATGTGTATGGATATGTGTGTATATGCGTTTGCATGTGTACATGCAGTTGTATATGTATAATTATCCACATTTGTTGATGTATATGTATATGAATATGCGTAGACGTATGTATATGTTGATGTAGCTGTTTATGTCGATGCACATGTATGCGTATATGTACCTGTATATTTGTATGAGCATGCGCATGTGTATGTATGTATGCATATATTTGTATATGCATATGTGCATATACATGTATATGTAAATGTATATGCATGTGTATTGGTATATGTATTGTGTGTGCTTATGTGTATCTATAGGTATACGTGTATGTATTCGTATATAGATATATACATGTGGCTGTACATGCATACGTATATGTATATGCATATGCATGTGCAATGGTACATGTGTATATATACGTACACGTATATGTTTATGCACATGTTTATATATATATATCTATTCACAACTGTATACACATACATCTGCATCTATATACATACATGATTGTGCATATGCATGTGCATACGTATGTGTATTTGTATACGTTTATGCATATGTACACGTATGCATATATACATACGTATGTCTATGTATTTGTATATGTATATGTACCTGCATCGGTATATGTAGATGTATAGGTATATGTATATGTATGTGTACATTAACATGTATAGGTATATGTATGTGTATATATATATATGTATATTCATATCTATATGTATACATAACTGTATTTGTATGTGTATGTGTATATGTACGTGTATATGTAGATGTATAGTTAGATGTAGGTGTACACTCATGTGTATAGATGTATGTAGATGTATATGTATATGTGCATATGTATATGTTTATGTTTATGTGTATGTATATGTATATGTATATATATGTATATGTTTATGTTTATGTGTATGTATATGTATATGTATGTGCATGTGCATGTGTATATGTATATGTATATGTATATGTTTATGTTTATGCGTATACATATGCATATGTATATGTATATGCACATGTAATTGTATATATATGTATGTACATGTACATGTACATGCATGTGTATGTGTCTATGTATATGTATATGTATATGTATATGTATTTGTGTGTATGTATCCAGATAAGGTTTCAGTGGGCCCAAAGCCTGCCCCACCCGTCCCCCATGGAGGTGCCGGCCTTCCTTTCGCGTCCGAGATAGCCCAATTTTTCGGCCCACGAGAGTCCCAAGAGCGCCCAAGGGGCCTCCAAGTTGACCCAGCAGGCACTCAAGACGGCCTGAGGTATATCCAAGACGCCCAAGTGGGGCCCCAGGACGGCCCGAGGCCCTTACAAGACGGTCCAACACGGCCTTAAGACAGCTCACGAGGCTCCCACGACGCTCCCAAAAGGCCATGCCAAGCTCGTGCACTTCGGAGGCCTCCAAGGGGCTTGGCGCTCCCCCTCTCCCTCCCTCCCTCTTTCTCTCTCCCTCTCTCTCTTCCCCCTCTCTCTGTCTCGCCCGCTCGCTCGCTCGCTCTGGCTCTCTCTCTCTCTCTTGCTCTCTCTCTGCCTCTTTAGATCATTATCTCTCTCTCTCTCTCGCTCTCTCTCTCTCTGTCTCTCTCTCTCTCTCTCGTTTTTGTTGTTGTTCTATTTCTCTCTCTCTCTCTGTCTCTGTCTCTGTCTCTGTCTCTCTCTCTCTCTCACTCCCACTCTCTCCATATCTACATGGCCATGTACACGTGTGCATTTCTCCTTCGGCCCGATGGCCCCCAGTCCGACCCAGGATCCGCGGTCTCTCCGAGTCGGGCCCAGCCTTCCGGCGCGTGGAACATGAAGGGCTGGGGCGAGAAACAACGCTGGACGTGCTTTCCCCACGGGCGATGCCCCCTCGACGCCTGGGGCCCCCGCCAGGCCCACCCCGCAGGATTCCCTGAACGGCGACCCGCCGCGACAGGGAACACCTCCAGTCTTGACCTTTTCTCGCCCGCCCGCCCTTACTCGCTGTTAATGTTGTCATCCTCGCCCTCGTCTCCTCTCCCCCCCTCCCTTTCCCCGTCGCGCCCCCCTTCTTTGTTCCTCCTGCTCTTCGGCCTCTTCGTCCTCCTCCCCATCGTGCCCGCCCCCGCGCCAGGGCCCCGACTCCCCCAAACGGACTCTGCAGGCTCTCAAGGCACCCCGCCAGACGTCCCCCCGCCCCAAGTTGCCGCGATTGCATCGGGACCCGCTGACACCAGGCCCTCCTCTAGCAACGCTCGTGCGCTTGCCTTGCGGCTTCTCCGCTGGGGCATGGTCTCTGAGCGACGACGGGCTGCCGCGCGACACCCGCCATGGCAAGCTTGCAGCCGCGCCTCGACCTGCACCTGTCTGTCGATCGTTGTCGGGTCTGCTTGGAGGATCGTGCTGGCATGCGGTAGGTTCGTGTCGTGCCGACGCCGCGGCGACCCCGCCGCTGGCGTTCAAGCTTGAACGCCGCCAATGATCTGGCGATCGGGAAGCCGCCGATTATTCAAGGTTGCAAGATCCGCTCGGTGTCAGAAGCCATCGCCGCGGATTGTCACTCGAGCCTGCCGTGCTGTCCTGCAGGGCGCGTAACAGTAGCAGAGCTGGCACGATGGCTCAGAACGGCCGTAGCTCTAGGTCGGGCGTGCCCCCCTACAGACGGATTTTGGACGACGGATAGAAAATGGTCAACAAGTGCTCAAACATAGACAAGATTAGTCAAAACATCGCCCCCAGACCATTTTTTGTTTTTCATATTTCTCCTGTATACAGTCCGGGCCCTGAAGAAGGAACCCTTTTCGTTGGGGAGGGGCTCCGCGTTCCTCAAGTGTTTCACAGCTTGCCTCAGGCTTTCCTTATGTTTTCGACCGGAAATCGAAGGTTAACTTCTGGAAAAAAGGGGCCTCGTTCCTTATTTGGGGTTCCTCAGGTCAACGCCCCGACTGTAAGGGGCAGGCCCGACTTGACCACGGCTCTGGAGGGGTGCCCTCGCGTCCTGCGTGCTCGGGCCATCCAGCCTGGGAGCGGTCTTCGCTCCGCGCAGCCCAAGATGGGGCCCGGGCCTTCGGCGCAGGGCGCGTCCTGTCCCGACCCGCCCTCTGAAAGCGGCGCCCTGCTTGGATTCTCGGGGGCGGAAAAGAGGGGGGTGATGACTAGGGGGGGGTGGATATCATGGCGGGGGTCATGATATGTCCGCAGATGTCATGGCGCCTCTGCTTATTTCATGACGTCCCTGGCCCCCCCGCTGGGCGGCGCACATGCCGCCGGTCATGATTTGCACCCCCCCGTCTTGGACACCCCCTCTTGGCCGCTCCCGAGATTCACCACCCACCAGACCACCTGGAGAATGTCGGTTCGGGTTTCGAGGTGGATTTCGTGCGGATTTTTTTTTGTGGCCAGGAATGAAGACCGAAGAAGAATCCACGCGGAATTCACTTCGTGTTTCGCTCGCCGCTTCGGGCAAACATCCGCGCAGAAATCCACGCAGAAATGCGCTGCAGCACGTCTGCAAGGCCGGTGCAATGACAAAAAAGAGTCGGAACTCTTGTGTTGTGTCTCTCACCACCCACCAAACCACCCCAACCCAACCCGAAGGCCTCAATTTGCCATCGATTTCCAGTGTGTGTGGGGGGTCGGGGAACATGGAGAAAACACATGGAGCCTGTACCCCCCCAAACCCGAAGTTCGGGCCTTCGGGCTGAGTTGGGGTGGTCTGGTAGGTGGTCATTCATTGTGCTCGCACGATCTCCTGATAACTCTGTGCTGCTGTCCATCCTCAGGGCGAAGTCTGGGGGGGGGTCGTCAGGTCAGGCGCGTGTGTATGTTTCAAGCATCCTGGCAGGATGCGTGCTACCGCAGCGCTCTCAACGCTACATACCAGGGGTTTTCCAAGAATCCCGAGGACCCGAGGGAGGAGGGGGTCGGCTCGTCTCTCTCTCACATCCCAGCACTCGCTAGGCGGGCGGCTTCTTCTCCTGGCAATGCTGATGTTCGCATCCATGCATGCGCAAGCGAGCAGAACAAAGAAGCAGGCAGATAATCAGGCATCGAGCAGCACTGTGCATATGTTAGCTCCACGCTAGACGCCATGATTTATACAGTAGCAGCATGTTGCAACTCGGACCCATGCAGTGCCGACTCGCCATCGCCACATTACTCATCATTGACAGTCAGACACGAAGGGGAATGTCCAGCGCTTGTCATCTCGAAGTAGTGTGTCAAACTGTTGGGCATTGCTTTTCTGCCAACGTCCTCGTTGCCTCCACCATCCTCTCTCTCTTTATACACATATATATAGATATGTGATTATAAATGTTTATACGCATTTATCCATATATATATATATATATATATTCAAACTTGCAAATACCCGTTCCGTTCACACATATTTTTACGTAGAGCGTGCGGATCCTATTCCGATTCCAGTGAGGAGCGTGCCAACATGAGCGGGGGGACGCTAAGCCAAGCCTGTCTCTGGGGCCGCAGGTGAGGCTCCCTGAGGGGCACGATCCGTGTGACAATATGTATATATACATATACATATGAATATGTATATATATATATATATATCCTCCGATGCCGAATAGTTTAATCTACAACTAAAGCGTAGAGCGCGCTAGAACCTAAACGCACGAAACGCGCGCGTGGTTCTAGTGTGTCTATTTGTATATGTATGTAGTGGTACATTCATATGAATATGTCTATATGTATGTATGTATATTTGTATTCATGTTTGTATGACTGAATGTATATGCATATATGCATGCATAAATGTATGTATGCATGCATGTATGTATGTTTGCAGGTAAGCAGGAATGTATGTACAGATGTGCGTATGCACTCATGTATGTACGTATGTATGTATGCATGTATGTATGTATGCATATATCTATGTATGTATGCATGCATGCATGTATGCACGCACACATGACTATATTTACGTATGTATGTACGCATGTATGCATGCATTTATGTATGTATGAATGTATGTACGCGCGTATGCATGTACGTATTTATGTACGTACGGACGTACGTATGCATGTACGCATGTGTGTATATATATTTAGATATCTGTATGCATGCATGCAAGCCTGTAGGCATGTATGTATGTGTGCACGCATACATGCATGCATGCATGTATGTATTTGTGTACGTACATACGTGCTGACTGTATGCACGTCTGCATGTATGCATGTCCGCATGTATGCAAGTATGCATGTATGTATACATATGTATATATATATGTATGTGTGAATGTGTGTATGTATGCATGTATGCATGTATATATGTATGTATGTATGTATGTATGTGTGGTCGAATGTTGTATGTATGCATTCATGCATGCATGCATGTATGCATGCATGTACGTATGCATGTTTTTGTTTCTTTAATGCATGACTGCATACATGCATGCATGCCTGCATGTATGTATGTATGCATGCATACATGCGTTTATGTTTTTGTGTATGTATGTGTGTATGCATGTATGCGTGTACGTGTGTATGTCTGTACGTATGTATGTATGTAGGTATATGGATATGCATATATACACGTAGATGTAGATGTATATGTCTATGTACACGTAAATGTATATGTATTTGTAGTTGCAGATGTAAATGCAAACGTTTATGTACATGCATATATACATGTATGTATGCATGTATATATATATATATATATATAGCAGGTTCTAGCAGGCCCCAGGCTTTGACGACTTCACTGCCCACTGAAGTAGAGGACCACAAAGGGGGTCAAGGGTAGCCATGCCTAGTGGACCGTTCTAGCACATGCCTTCCAGTGGGTGCGTTTATTGCACTGGCTATTTCGGAGGGCGGCGAGGACATCGGGCATATAAGGTCTACACCAGCTGCATTCTCATATCGGTTTTCTCTTCTTTATTCTCTTCGCCTTCGACTGCATGGTTGACGCCACTGCAGTCTCTCCAGACCTTGTGAACTTCGAGTTTGTGACTTGGAACACGCAGAAGAGATCTCGATACAGGACTGGCGCTGTGTTGAAATGCATGGCTCGCCGGTACGGGCCCTCAACAGTAGCATGCTTACAAGAAGTGCCGCAGTGGGGGGTCAGTGTTCATAAGCATTTTGCAGTACGTTCTGTCGCAGGTAAAGATTGCGCAATTGTTTTGCCTAAAGCCGATGTGTCATCTATCATATGGGAGGTACACGAAGATCGTTTTAGTATTGTTGTCGTGGGGAATCACATATTCGCTTCAGCACACATCCTGGATTATGGCACTGACAGGCTTGCAGACAGTCCCACCTTGCACCGGCTTTCTGCATCGATCGTCCTTGCGAGGGAGAAGGTGCTTTGCAAGCAGTGGCACCCGATAGTTTTCTTGGGCATGGATGCTAATGTCAGCCTGCCGCCTGACACACTTGGGGTTACGGGCAATTCGTGTGCAAGAGCCCTTCCTTCTCATCGTGTTGGAATGCAAAGGACTGTTTTAGATTTCCATGTCTCGCACGACCTCGTTGTTCACAGCTCGTTTGCGAATATCCCTTTGGATCGATCTTTCACGAGGGTGGGGAGGAAGAGGACTGCCAGAAACAAGTCGCAAATTGATTTTGCCAGCACGTCATTGTCACAACATCTACCGGCGTTTCCTGATTTTCAGGTGGATGAAGATCCGAACTCGGAGCTCCGGAAGTCTGATCACCTACCAGTTCGTCTCAGAATTCTTCTTGATACGGATCAGTGTAGAAGGACTCCTAAAGCTGAGCTTTCTGATTTCCGCAAGGTGCAACAGAGTTGGAATATCGACCGTCTTTGCGACAAAGCGCAGTTCTGGTATGACGTCTCGACGGGGCGCTCCGAGAACATGAGCTTAGCAGACTGCGTTTCGTCCGTGCGGAGTGCCATTTTCAAGAGTGCGGGCAAGGATCGCACCACGGAAGTGGACGACGATGAGATAGACGTTGAACGAGCAGTAGGCGGTAGGAAAAGGAAACGAAAACACGCATCCTCTTCTGGTCAGGCAAAGCCGAACGCATCAATAGGTCAGTGGGGCAGGCGTGGCACAAACAAGTACATCCTCACCTGCATCTCTCAACGAAGTAAGGCTTTGGATGCGCAGCCACCGGTAGTCTTGAGCATTGAGGGGCAAGAGTCAGCAGATAGAGGCACGTGGAAGGGGGCACTCACACAGCTTGGAAAACATAAGTTCGCAGGCACTGCGGGGAGCAACACTAATTTCAGCGCCGTTGTCGAGAAGTGCCGGGCCACGGCGTACGCCAACACTTTGGACAATCATGTTATCGGAGCCCCTTCGTTTGCTGATTTTGCTGATACCCTCTCTCGCTTATCATTAACTTCAGCGCCTGGCCCGGACGAGATACTGGGAAAGGCTTGGGTTTTCGCCCCACACTGGATGAAATGTAGGCTGTATGAGCTTCTCTTGAAGAGGTGGAACGACACGTCTTGGAGTGTTCAGGAGTTGGCCACATGGAAGAAGTTTGTTTTGCGCGGAGTGCAGAAAGTACCCAGTCCATCATCGCTCAGGCAATTCAGGTGGCTTGGCATGTTGGACCACCTGTACAAACTCTTCTCGGGCACGGCCTACGTGAGCATCGCCCGCACCATCGCCAAACCGATGCGGGCCCACAGCTACGGATACAAGAAAAAGACATCAGTTGACGACGTATTTGGAGTTCTTTTTGAAATTGTTGCTTATGCGAGGCGGTGGGACGATGTCACATTGATATTAGCAGCACAGGACATTTTGACTGCGTTCGATTCAGTAGAGCACGCAAGCATCATCGACGCGTTCCGCAAAGGTGGGGCTTCTGCACATCAGCTGCTGAATTTGGCCCGGGACCTGTCTGACGTTGAAGTCACGCTGGACATTCCAGGAGTGGCGGTTACGGACGACATGCCCATGACAAAGGCCCTCAAGACGGGGGGCAAGGCTGAACCGCATATTTTCAATTTTATGTTCGAGACCGTTCTTGATCACCTCGAGGGCGTCTGGGACTCTCTGGGAGTCGGGTTTTATTTAGATTCGGGGGAACGCCTGGGCAGTGTAAATTTCGTTGACAATCTGTTCCTTGTTGCACGCACGTTTGAGCAGTTCACTTTCATGGTTCAAAGCGTTACCGATCTTATCTGGCAGCGTTACAAGTGGACTTGGAAACCAGAATCGCTGGAAGTCATGTCTGTACGTTCTCCTCTGGCCGGCCCCGTAGCGGAGGTGCGATGCAATGATGCCGTTTTGCACTACAAGGTCTGCACATCAATGTATGCGTTGGGAGGTGTTATTGATGTTGAACACCCTGCAGAGAGTCTATTCCGGCATCGATTCGGACTTGGACGAAAGGCGTTCTACAAATACCACCGGCAGTATCGCGGCAAAACACCAGTGAGCCTCAAACTTGAGGTTTTTGCATCTGTGCCCAGGGCGACAGCATTGTTTCTATGCCCAATCATGTATTGGAATTCGACGTCTCTGCTTGAGGCAGTGCGGTGGGAGCGGCAGTTGTTGAGATCTGCATTTCGTTTTCGACCAGCCCCAGGCGACCACAGCCGCATGGCTTATTACAAGCGCACTGCGCGAAAGCTAGATACATGGATGTTGAATTGCAATTACAAGCAAATCCACATAGCGATCATGGAAAGGTTGTTTCGGCACGTCTGGCATGAGCGTACAGTTGCCAAGCAGCTCTCTTCCATTCGCCGGGACCGTGATTTAGACATATGGGAAAGTGTGAAAGACATCCCATCGAACAAACGGAAAAGAGAGCAGCTCCTGCATAGCAAGAGCGGCCCACAGTTGCAGTTTTCGACTTTGTTTGCGCGTGTGTGGGATGTTCATTGGCGTGCACGTCTTGATTCTTGCCGCGACGAATCAGAGTGGTACTCTCACATGAAAGATTTTGTGCGCCTTGCTTGTGACAAACTCAACCTTCCCCAACCTCACCCTGGATATGTTTCTGCCTGCACGCGTGCAGCCGCGCCTCGGGCCGACCGCACCGACATGGACTACCAGACGCTGCCCCTGACCAAGTGTATGAAGCGGGACCAACTCTGGTCACACCGGCCGGCGAAGCCGCAAGTCGAATTCGTGGTGGACAATCAGACTCTCGCTCAGCTTGTGAACGTGGAGATCCGCATCGCGAACCCGCACTACGAACAGGACATTGGCAGAATGAGGGAAAACTTGTTCAACATATATTCTCGGTTCTTTGACTACAAGGGTGGGTTTCTTGCTTGTTTTGATTGGCGCCCGCGTGAATACAATGCTTTGGCAGATCGGGTGTGCAATTGGGTATTGGATCAAAAAGCGGACATCATAGATGTGGATTTGGACGCTGTTGCCGCTTTTTTTTATTTTTGCTTTTAGTATATTTATTGTTGTTATGTTTGTTTTTTTTTTTTGTTTGTTTGTTCTTGTTTTTTGTTTTTTTTTTTTGTACTTTTTTGTTATTATTTTTTTTTCTTTTTGTTTTTGTTTGTTTTTGTTTTTGTTCTTTTTGTTTTTGTTTCTCCCCAGTATAACTTGTATTAGTGTATTTTTTTTTTGTTTTGTTTTTTGTTTTGTTGTTATATTTTTGTTATTTTTTATTGCTGTTCTTTTTTTTGTTTTGTTTTTATTTTTTTTTTATTGTTTTCTTTTTTATTTTTTGTTTTTTTTTTTTGTTGCCTGTAATGGGTCAGCTATCCAGTTTTTCTCAGATGGGGGTTATACTGGTGAAAATGGGGCCGCTGCCGCTGTGGTTGTAGTTTACACATACAATGGTGATGAGTGGGTGCCTGAAGTGAAGGGACACAAAGGAATTTTCATCGAGAATGCGCATTCATCTTTTCATTCGGAACTTGTTGCTGCTGATATTGCTCTGCAGCTGGCAACGCAAGTCGGCCAGAAGTGCACGACTATCCAAATGCATGGTGTGAGAAAGCGTTTACGCACAAGGTTTTACTGAGTCACAGTCTTGAGGAATCATTTCCGTCACATTATACGTTCATTTTCAAATAGTGTTTTGTGCACTGTCCAATCGACCTGATCAAGGGAGATGCTACCAAATATATATATATATACAAATATATGCATGCATTCATGTACGCATGCATGCATGCATGCATACCTATGTATTCACATATGTATGACTGTCTGTATGTATTGGTGTATGCATGCATGTATTGATGTATGCATACACCTAAGTATATATGCCTGCATGTGTGTATATAATATGTCTACCTGCATGCCATTATGTCTCTCTGTCTGTCTGTCTGTCTGTCTGTCTGTCGGTTTGCGTGTATGTATGTGTATGGATGTATGTATGTTTGTATGCATGTATGTATGTATGTATGCACGTACGCACGTATGTACGTACGTACGTATGTATGTATGTATGTATGGTTGTATGTATGTATGTATGTATGTATGTATGTATGCATGCATGCATGCATGCATGCATGCATGTATGTATGTATGTATGTATGTATGTATGTATGTATGTATGTATGGTATGTATGTATGTATGTATGCATGCATGCATGCATGCATGCATGCATGCATGCATGTATGTATGTATGTATGTATGTATGTATGTATGTATGTATGTATGTATGTATGTATGTATGTATGTATGTATGTATGTATGTATGTATGTATGTATGTATGTGTGTGTATATGTATGTATGTATGTATGTATGTATGTATGTATGTATGTATGTATGTATGTATGTATGTATGTATATCTGAATGTATTTTTGTTATTTATATATGTATGCAGGCCCTTCTACATATATGCATATGTATATATGTACGCACGTAGATATACATCTATTATGTGGCATGGACCGCGTGAGGGACCTCGGGGGGGCATAGGGAGGATCTTACTGGAGAGATCACGGGGGGGCACGCGGGGGAAGCCACGCGGGGGAAGCCGCGGGGTGGGCGCCCGGCACGAGGCGGTGCCGTCAGGGGCAACGTGAGGGGCGGATGGGCTCAGGGGGAGGAGGAGGAGGAGGAGGAGAGGAGGTGGAGGAGCGAGGAGGAGGAGGAGGAGGAGGAGGAGGAGGAGGAGAAGGGGAGGAGGAGGAGGAGGAGGGGAGGGAGGAGGGGGAGGGGAAGGAGAGCAGAGGAGGTGGAGGTGAGGAGGGAGGAGGAGGAGGAGGAGTGGGAGGAGGAGGAGGAGGAGGAGGAGGAGTGAGGAGGTGGAGGAGGAGGAGGGAGGTGGAGGAGGAGTGGAGGCAGGAGCAAGTAGGAGGAGGAGGAGGAGGAGGAGGAGGAGGAGGAGGAGGAATAGGAGGTGGAGGAGGAGGAGGAGGATCAGGGGGGAGCACATCGACCCCCAAGCGCCCGCCCACTCGTCGCCGACAGCGGCCTGGCAGCACGCTCCCGCCCAGGAGCCTGCGGTTTCGCCATAGCGGGGGCCCTCGGCCGATGCAAACCCGATGCTTCTTCCCCTGAGCTGGCCCCCCCTTACAGTCGGGGCCCTGAAGAAGGAACCCTTCTCGTTGGGGAGGGGCTCCGTGTTCCTTAGTTGTTTCGCAGTTTTAGGTTTTTCCATGGGAAATCGAAGTTCAATGTGTGGAGAAAAGGGGCATCGTTCCTTATTTAGAGTTCCTTAGGTCAACGCCCCGACTGTACCGTTCCCCCTCTTTCGGTGGCGAGCGAGGGGAAGGACAGCGAGAAGGAGAAAGCCTTCTCAGAGGGCGGCGGGACTTCTCAGAAACCCTCGGGCCTTGTGAGAAGGTTTGTTATACAAATGATCCAGGGTCTGGCCCCCCCCCCTCATGCTGATGCCATCGGCCCGCCCCCCCCCCCCCCCCGCGCGAGGCCCCCCCCCCCTGGGGCGTGTGGGGGTTGGTGGGTGGTCGGTGGTTGGTGGTGGTCGGGCCCTCCCTCAGGAGGTCGCTGAGGCGGAGGGGGGGGGGGGGGAAGGGGGGGGGGAGGAGGAGGAGGAGGAGGAGGAGGGAGGTAGGAGGAGGAGGAGGAGGAGATGGAGGAGGATATGACACAGACGGGACGAGGTAGGAGCAGGAGGGGAGGGATGAGGAGGGGGCGGGAGGAATTAGGAGAAGCAACATCGTCGTCGACCGGGTTGTCTTCCCCATTCTCGCTTCTTTGGGTGTGGCCCCGAGAGCGGTGCTTCAGGGAGCAGAGGGGACGGTGTTCGTCGTCGTCGTCTCGTCGTTCGTCGTCGTCGTCGTTCGTCGTCGTCGTCGTCGTCGTCGTCTCTGTCGTCGTCCCATTGGGGGGGGGACCCTGAGGACCTTCCCGTCTGGGGGGGTGGGAGGGGGGCGGCGGGGCCGGAGCCCAGGATTAATTGCTCGCGTGTTGGCCCCCAGCCGTTACGGGATCCTCTCCCTCGGGCGGGGCCGGTAGGATGACTTGGTCTGCTTGGGTGACGGCGAATGAGTGGAGCGTCATCGGAGATAAAAGGGGGGGCGTGCCTCTGCTCCGGCCGTGTTCCTCGCCACTCGTCTGCATCTGCGGGCTTTTTGCGCTCGCATCGACGCAGCGCTGTGCCGGAGCGCGCTTGGCGCCCGATTTGAACATAAAGAGTTCCTCTCCGTGCTCATTTTTAAAAGTATGTATGTATGTATATTTTATACATATATATACTACACATGTATATATCTATATATATATATATATATATATATATATACGTTGTGCATAACGCCGCTGTCTGCTATCCGTGCTTTTGCGGAAATCGAAGGATCCGCACTACTCGGACTTGCAGCTGGCTGCGGTGGACGTGGAGTTCCTGAAAGCGATGGCCACCTTCAACGTCGCTGGGGGCTCGGGGCCTCGCCACTCGCTTCGGATCCCGTGCACTCGGGACCCCCCAGCCTCCATCCTTCACTCGCACGCCATGCGATACCCCTCCTCCCTCCTCCCTCCTCCTCCCTCTTCCCTCCTCCCTCCTCCCCCTCATCCTCTTACCTTCGATTCCGCCTCCTGAAAAGAGACGTTCGACGGTCCCAGCACCGTCGACCAGAGAATCAGCCCTTTTCGCTAATGCATCAAGGTGCCCGTGCTCGGAACTGCTCCTGCGGCTGATCGGGCCATCTTTGTGGGTTTCTCAGGGGCGGCTTCGGAGCGTTTTGGGTTGCCGTGGCGCTGTCTTGGGTTTTGATTTTGCCGTCGTTGGGCTGTTTCGTAGAGATCTCCTGGATTCTTATGTGGCCGCTTGGTGGCTGTTGAAGTATGGCCACGTGGAAAGCATTGAACACGCAGCTTCGCAAGTTCCTGAATGGAGTTCCGCTGATGGGTTTTACAATGGTCGAGCTTCAGACCTCGCAAATCCTCCATGGTCTCTTATCGAGGCGCCAACATCGCAGAGCGGATTTCGTTTGGAAAACGATAGGATGGGCCCGGAGTGTCCTCGATAATTTCGATCCGGATTTCGATGTGATTTTCGTGCGGATTTTTTTGGCCAGGAATGAAGGCCCCCCCAAATCCACGCGAAATTCACTTTGTTTTTCGCTCGGCTTTTCGGGCAAAACTCCACGCAGAAATCCACGCAGAACTCCGCTGCAGCACTTCTGCAAGGCCGGTGCAATGACTCTTAGATCTCCTGTCTTGGCTGTCTCCTGGGCAGCTGCCGCAAGAGGCGCCAACAATGGAGCACGGCATCTTCTTTTTCATAATCTGGGTGCGGGTGGCTGGGTGACGACAGTTACTTACTGTCACTACGTGAACATAACGACGAACGTGAGCGTTATATTTGGAGATGGAAATGTCGGAGGTTGATAGACCTCCTACCCTGACACGTCGATTAGTTTAGTGAATCGGTCGTTTTCGGTTCGCGAGAGGGCGTTGCGGTCGTCATTTTTGCGGGTCTAGGTCCGTCGGTTTCGGTCCTAGGCCGTGGTTCAAGGGAGGTTTGTCCACCGTCGAAAAGGGTGACAACATATCCATCATTTTGATAAGATGAGCGCGCTCAGGAGAGTGAGTGTTTGCACACTCGCCCGCCCAACCACTTGCAACACACATCACTACGCCTGCTGATTCGGAGAAGCCCCGTGGGGGCAGGATCCTGAGCGCACGCACCCGGTGCCCGTCGTGGTTCGAGTCCCCCAAGCTTTGGGATCCCTTGGCTCATCTGATCTGCCGAGACGTTGGTAATTCAGTTGGCAGCAGCGTGGGGTGGCGCGCGGGGTTCGGCCACCGGAGCCGTGGACACGCTAAGTGCGAGGCAGGTTTCGGTATTGTAGGTTGGTCTGGTTGGTTGCCAACCCAATGGCAGGAAAGCGTTGTTCGTGGTTCCCTACAATTTGTTCTGCGCTAGCTCGTCGTCGCAAAAACCATATTCCCAGCATCGCCGTTAACCAGCATCGCCGTTAGCGTGGCCTTGGCAATATCTGTGGCAGGATAACCGGGTCGCACCCGTTGGGTTCCACACGACAGGGTCCCACACGATGTGTTCCCACACGATGCGGCGCCACACGATAGTGTCCGACACGATGGGGCCTTACGATAGGGTGCCACATGACAAGGTCATCCCACTTGATGCGGTCCCGCAGAACGGTGCCTTCCGCACCACAGGGGCCCACCCACGAAAGCAGACACGACACGTCCTTTCCTCTAGGGTGCAACATGACAGGCTTCCACGCGGTGGGGTGCCACCCGATGGGGTCCCGCCCAAGAAGGTTTCCACGCGGCAGGGCCGACCGTGTTCCTCACCATGCGGTCACAAAAGCTAGGCTCCCACACCGAAAGAGCCTCGTTCGACAGGCCCTCACCAGAACAAATCGCACCCGACAGGGTCACACGACCCTGGGATCCGGCGTTGCTAACAAGCTGAGGCAACGCTAAAAATCACGACCAGAGTCCTGCACCCCATACCTCTGCTGCATGTTTCGAGCCGGATCGATCTGCGAGGACCCTGGGGCCCGCCGTAAGGCAAACTCGTTCGTTGTGGTACGGTCGCGACGCGAGGACTTCAGGGCCGCACGAACTCGTCTTGTCGGGCTCGCGCGCCGGCATCGTTCTGCCTCTGCCGCCGCTGCCGCGGGCGCTTTTCCGTGGTTCGAGTCCGTGGGGTGGGGGCATGCTGCGAGCGTGCGCGGGGTCTGCCGTCGCGAGGCGGCGTGGCCCGTCGGGGAGGAACCCACGCCTCGGCGGCGCCCGCGCGGGGGGGGGGGGGGGGGGGCCCGCGGTGCAGCGGGGGCACGGCCTCCCCGAGGAGGCCAGCCGCAGGGGCTGCCCAGGAGTCCAGATGGGGCCTCCCTGGAGAGGCCCAGGGGTCCTCGAGGAGGCCCTCCTGGGAGGCCGTGCCGGGCCCTCCTGCTGCAGGGGCCCCCGCCGTCGAGGCAGCCCCCCCCCCGCCTTCGCAGGAGGGCCGCCCCCTCCTGCCCTCGCAGAGAAGGCCGCCGCCCTCGCGGCCAACCCCTTCCCCTCCTCCTCCTCCTCCTCCGCCTCCTCCTCCCCCTCGCCCTCCTCATCCTCATCCTCATCCTCATCTCCTCACGCTCCTGCCCTGTTCTCTCTTCCTTGCCTGGCCCGTTCTTCTTTGGCGGCGCGTCCCGCCCGAATGAGAGCTGCGGTGGCTGTGCTCGTGCCGCTGATCGGTCTCAGTAGCTGTATGTGGTAAGTCGCAGTTGCAGTGGTGAGCATCTCATTATAGACGGGAAGAAGAAGAAGCTGGAAAGGGCGAGGAGGAGTGGAGATTCTGGGGAGGGGGGCTGCATGGTAGGCTGAGGAGAACCACTGGAGGGTGGATCAGGGGAAATTGGGAGGCAGGGAGAGAAGCCCCCTCCCCTTGCAAGATGGCAACCCAGACGCCGGTGAAGACTGTCCAGACGCTGCTAGCCATGGAGCTCGAGGCGACCGGCCTTCGTCTGGGCTGCCTCTGCCGCAGTTGGCGTTGCTGGGCCGAATTCTCTGCCAGCGCAGCTGTCTGCCGCCGTCGCTGCTCCCACACGGGCTGTGCAGTTGACCCCCGCGGAACCAGAAGGGGTAGTGTCCTGCTCAAGCGCCCAGCAGTAAGCGCCCATGGGCGCTTACTGCTGGGCGCTTTAATCTTCTCGTCGGCCCTTCTGGTCCGAGTGGGAGGCGTGCGCTTGTTCACTGGGCTCGCAAGTGGGTGTCCATGCCATTGACACTCGGCGATGCCGGGGAGCCCCTTGAAGTTTCGAGGGTCGATTCGGTGATCAGATATCGTCCGCGTAGCCCAGCAGTAAGCGCAGAGAGCAGCCGGTACGTGAACTGGGCAGTCTCCCATTCATGCCTTCGCCTCGAAACGGATCCGTGAGTCAGGTGTGTGTGTGTGTGTGTGGAATTATGCAGCAGGATGGGTACAGTGCCGTTTTTAAAACATGCTCCGCGTGCGGATCATATATTATACATGCAGGTATTTAGTATTACAATCAATGATGAATGTATGCATTGATTTATTTGTAAATTCATCATGTCTTAAGCATCCAGTGTATTAAACATCCTATGTATTAAAACTTGCCCTTAGCCTTCGAAGAAGTGGCCACGGCGTAAGCATTGACCTTTCGGAGGTCCGCGCGGATCTTTTGTGGGTCGGCGCCTGGGCCCCCCCCCGGCGGCGCCTCCGGCGCCGCCCGCGGCGCACTCCACGCGCCGGGGAGGGGGGCCCAGCGCAGATCCAAGATGTCCGAGCGGAGCTCAGACAGTTTGTGCTTATGCAGTTCTTTGTTCCTCTAAGCTCGGGGGCGGAAAAGAGGGTGGTGATGACTAGGGGGGGGTGGATATCATGGCGTGGGCCATGATATTTCCCCAGATCTCATGGCGCCTCCTCTTGTTTCATTACGTCCCTGGCCCCCCCGCTGGGCCGCACACATGCCGCCGGTCATGATTTGCACCCCCCCCTCTTGGACACCCCCCTCTTGGCCGCTCCCGATAAGCATGGCATCAGAGGAGCAGGAAGTCATGATAGTATGGTGCGTTGTATCATCTCCTGGTTTTCGTTTTGCTTCGCGCAGCCAGAGACGAACGACCGCGGGCCGCTAGAAACCCTAACGCTCTGGGAACGCCTCCTGAGCCAATTTCCGCGGACGATCGATATGCACCGTACCACGTTGGCGTCTCCCGAGGCGTCGTCGATCTTCGATACAGGATTGGCACAGTGCATCGTTTTTTCGGCCTTCAGAGCCGAAGAGCCGTGCCCGCTCCCGACAAAAACATGCACCGCTCCGCCGCCGTCTCGGTGCTGGCTTCCCAGAAGCGTTCTCATGAAGTCCGTGCGGAGGATGAGGATGAGGAGGAGGAGGAGGAGGAGGAGGAGGAGGAGGAAAAAATAATATGACAGACGAAGAAAAAGAGAGGAGGAGGAGGAGGATGTGAATAGAGAGGGAGGAATAGGAGGAGGAGGAATAGGAGGATGAGGAGGAAGGAGGAGGAGGTGGAGGAGGAGGAGGAGGAGCAAGAGGAGGAAAAGGAGGAGGAGGAGGAAGAGGAAGCTCGGCGGAATCGTACACATATTTGGCAAGCGTGCGAGAGCGTCGGCAACTGCAAGAGGAAACTCTCGAACTCCCAGTTCGTCTTTGGACCGCCTTTCGCGCGTTCCCACCGGAACGGCGCCCTGAAGTGCAAGCTGTGCGCGTGAGGCCCGCTGGAGCGCTTGTAGCTGCGCGCAAATGCTTTGGGCCGCAGGGGGGTACCAAGAGGAGGAGGAGGGGATGATGATGATGATGATGATGATGATGATGATGATGATGATGATGATGAGGATGATGATGATGATGATGATGATGGTGGTGGTGGTGATGATGATGCTGATGATGCTGATTGATGTTGAGGTGAAGATGGTGATGTGTTGATGGTGATGTGATGATGGATGATCATGATGTTGATGATGCTGATGTGTTGTTGATGATGTGATGATGATGATGTCTGCTGATGATGATGATGGCGATGGTGATGATGATGCTGCTGCTGATGATGATGGGAATTTTTTTGATGTGATGTTGATGATGATGATGAGACGATGATGTGATGATGATGGTGGTGGTGGTTGGTGGTGGTGGTGGTTGATGTGATGATGATGATGATGATGTGTGATGATGCTGATGATGAAGGTGGTGGTGTGATGATGGTGATGTTGATGATGATGGATTGGTGGTGGTGGTGGGGTGGTGGTGATGTTTGCTTATGATGATGGATGATGCTTTGATGATGAGGATGAAGCTGATGATGCTGATGATGCTGATGCTGATGATGATGATTGATGTCTGATGCTGATGATGATGATGATGATGATGACGATGCGATGACGATGACGATGATGATGATGATGATGGATGATGATGTTGATGTTGATGATGCTCTTGCTGATGATGATGATGATGATGATGATGATGATGATGATGCTGATGATGATGGTGATGCTGATGATGATGAGGAGGAGGAGGAATATGAGGAGGAGGGACACTGTCAGAGCCTATGGGGGACGCGTCTTGGGGCCATTGTCTTTTCTGTGGCTGACATTCTCGGTGTGTGCATGGGTTCAGAGTGGGAGAACCCAACTCACAGGCGGCGGGCACCTGTCAAAACACCACAGGGATGATTATCGAAGACGCCTACGACGAATCACCGCCGCACCCTGCCTTTTTGGAAGCGCCTATGTGGCCGAACGTTGAGGCCAGACCTGCCAAGCTATCGGACCACGTGTTCCCCGAATCGGTTTGGAAAGCCTTCGGGGAACACGTGGGCATCTTGAAGGTCATCTTGGCCGTCTTGGAGGCCTCTTGGGCAAGCTTTGGGCGATCTTTGGGGCTTTTTGGGCCGTCTCGGGCCAGCTTCGAGCCAACTTCGGCCATCTTGGTGGGTTCCTGGCAAGTCTGAAGCCGTCGGAAGCCGTTTGGGGGGCCTCTATGGGCCGACTTGGGGCCCGCTTGGAATGCTCCAGGGCCGTCTTGGAGGCCATCTTGGGCGTCTGGGAGGCCATCTTGGGCGTGTTGGAGGCCTCTTGGGCCCTCTTGGGGCCCTCTAGGGGCCATCTTGGAGGCCACTTGGGCCATCATGGGGCTCTCTTGGGGGCCTCTTGGGCGATCTTGGGGGCTTCTTGGGCCGTCTCGAGCCGTCGGAGAGCCGAAAAGGCGCAAATGCCAGAATCCTTCAAAAACCAATGAAAAATCAATGATTTTGGCCTCTTCGGACTCTCCTGGAGGACCTCTTGGAGGCCTCTTGGGCCGTCTGGGAGGCCTCTGGGGGGCCTCTTGGGCCGTCTTGGGCCGTCTTGGACTCTCTTGGGCCGTTTTGGAGGCCGTCTTGGACCATCTCGGGCGGACTTGGAGGCCATCTTGGGCCATCTTCGCGATTTTTTGAGGATGTCCCGAGCGAAACGGCCGTTTTTTGGAGGATTTTTCCGGTCGTTGAGCACCTTCCGGGTGGCCGGCGGGTTCTGCCGGAGCCCACTGGGGAGTTCTTTTGGAAAAAGAACCAAAACCAAAACCTGAACAGCTCATCCAGCACGCCGTGCACCCCTGCAAGCAGGGGGCGGCGGATCGAATGGCCTTCGGCTCATCCAGCCACCGTGTCTGGGATGTGGGCTTGAGGCCATTTGAGGCCACTCAGATGGCTGAAGGGGTCTCGTGTGAAGCCTCTCGGGGGCGTCTTGGACGCAGGTTTTGAGCCTCTTGGGGCCCTCCTGGGGGGCTCTTCGGGGCTTTTTAGGGCCCTCTTGGGGCTCCAGACCTCTTGGGGCCTCTTCGGGGCTTCTTGGGACAACTTGGTGGCTTCTTGGGGCAACCTGTGGGCGTCTTTGGGCCGAAGGCTCGAACTTTCAAGTCGGGTTCCCCCTCAGGGCCCCCTCTTGGGGCCATCTTGGGGCTCTCTTGGGTTTTTTTTGGTCGTCTTGGGGCCCTCTTGGGCCGTCTTGGAGCCCTCTTGGGGGCCTCTTGGGCAGTCCCGGACGTAGTGACAACCCAAAGAGGCGGATCTGCAAATTGGGACGATTTTTGCTTCTTTGGCCCTTTTGGAGGGGCCTCTTGGAGGCCTCGAATGGTTGTCTTGGAGGCATCTTGGGGCTTCTGGAGGCCATCTTGTTGGTTTCGGAACGATGTTTTGGCGACTCGGGGCCCTCGTGGACCGTCCTGGGGGCCTCGTGGGGACTCTAGGGCTGATTGTCTTGGAGCTATATAGGGAGCCCGGGGAGGCCCCGACCCTCCCTGGTGAGTTCGGCCGAGGGTCGGGGGAGGCAAGGGGGGTCAAATTCCTGGCATGGGGTCCCCTCGGGGGGATTGTGGGGGGGGGAAAGGATCTCACACGCCTAGAGACCCACGAAGGCGCGGCTGCTTCTTTGCGATGCCGCAGTTTTCTGGCAACGTCCGTTCTCGGGGGGCACATTCTCGGATCCATGGCGTTCTGCGGCTTGCTTCGGTCGGTTTGTAGGCCTCGTGCCTGGGGCCGCTGCTCCGCGGTTCGTGGCCCGCGGCGTGTGTCCTCGTGAGGCAATGGGGTACAGTAGTCTTTGAGAGGAGACGTCCTCGCAGGGCCCCGTCACGGGCAATCGATTCCGACTGGCAGTTGGGCAGTGAATAGGCACATGCCAGCATGCTAGCACGCGTGCTTGAATCATCTTACGGGCCGTGTGGGCGGGGGTCCAAGACGAACTCTTTCGACTAGAAAGCAGGCGACACCACCCCACCGATGGCCCTCCATGCTGCGCTACGGCCCATGGGGTCCGTAGCGCATTCCACGCAACATTTCACGCCAGACTTGCTGGTATACGCTAAGCCTCGTGGGGCCGTAGGTGGGGTTGTTTCGTTTCTTTTCTGGTTCACTCTTCCCATCGCCCGCCACAAAAATGGGGCGGGCCTCATCCTTCCTACAAGTAGTGAGTGGGCCGTCGGGCAGGATTCGTATACAACTTGCCTCCGCAATTTACTCCACCGTTGACAACGCAGCGCTCTGCGTGGCGACGCCACCCACCTGAGCCGTTCCGGGGCTGTCTTGGGCTCCTATGCGCCGTTTTGGCTCTCTCTTGGGACCTTCTTGGGATATCTTGGGGCCCTCTCGGACCGTCTTGGTGTCGTCTCGGGCCGTCTTGGGCCCTTCTCGGCCGTCTAGGGATTCTCTTGGAGCTGTCGTGGGGGCATCGGGGTACCTCTTGGAGCCATTCTGGGGCGATCTTGGTCCCTCTTTGCGGACTCTCTCTTGGGGCCCTTGTGGGCCCTCTTGGGTTCTCTTGGAAACACCTCTTCGAGCAATCCCAGACCGTTCGGGCGTTGGTTTGTGGAGGTCCACACCATTTCATCAGTATGCAACTTTGTGCGCCTGTCGCCCTCGTCATGCGCCGTCTTGGGGCCGTCGTGGACCGTCTCGGCATCTCTTGTGACCGTGTTGGGGCAGTCTCGGGCGCCTTGGAGCCATTTTGGAGCCGTCTTGAGTCAACTTGAACCTGTGTTGACCCGGTGCTGGGTCCGCAGGGGCTTGAAACGCGCCAGACTTCGAGGTTCCTGCGAATCCAAGGGGGGGAAGCACGGGCCGTGGTTTGATGAGGGGGAAGGGTCATCTTCAAAGACCCTACCAGACAGCACCTGGCGTCATGGGGTTCTTATTCTTAGTGTCACGCCTCCGCCTCTTCATCTACCCCTCGCTGTCTCCCTCTTCGCGCCCCTTGTGCTCAGACGCCCATGCGTTCAGAGGCACCCACTCAGGCCAGCTCATACTCAGTTAGCCATGCCCAGATTTCTGGTCAGCCTCACCTGCTCAGCATCACTCGTGTTCAGTTGCTCACATTCAGATTTCTCATGCTCAGACTTGCTCATAGTGAACATCCGTCTCAAGGTACTCAATATCAGAGTCACCCTTGCCCAGACTCGCTCATACTCCCGACTGTCTTCTGCATCTCAAGAACCATTCAAAGTCACTCGCAGACGACTCACCCGCAGTCAGATTCACCCATTCGGATTCAGTCACACCCAGACTCACTCGAACTACTGCTCGGAACACCCGACATCACTCACACTCAGACTAATTCAAACGCAGACGCAGTCGCACTCAGACTTACATCAACTCAGCCTCATTCGCGCGCCCAGATTGGGGGCGTCTCAAGCGAAACTCTGGTTTTGGACCCCCTCGATTAACTTGTTTTCAGAGTCGGTCCCATGATCACCGGGATGAAGCAAGCATTTTACTTGGGCACCTAGAGGGGGAACCGCTACAGGGGTTGGCCGTTCGCGCCAAACTTGTGGGGACGTTTCCAACGACATCTTTTTGGGGCCCCCTCCCACCACCGCTCCTTCTGGCTTGAGAGCCCCGTGGCCACCGCGATGTAGCAGTCACTGCACTCTGGGCCCCCCCAGGGGGTAGCCGGACTCTTTCCCACCCTCTCGCAGACCTAGAGGTTAACACCAACACCAAGATCGGCGGCGTTCCTCCACCGAGGGAAGAAAATCCCGATCTCGGTGATGGTGGTAATATTCTGGCTTCAAAGGTGACCGAAATGTTACCACCAACACCGAATTCAAGGATCGCCTCCACCCTGTGGAGGCAGCCCCGTGTCTTGGTGTTGGTGCCCATTTCCAGGCCTCCAGCCCTCGCCCCTGTTTGTGGGGGGACGTCTCAGCCGGACCACCGGTTTTGTCCCGTATTCCTCTGGTTGGAGGGCCCCGTGGCCACCGCGATGTAGCAGTCACTGCACTCCGGGCCCCCCAGGGGGGAGCCGGACTCTTTCCCACCCTCGCCCACGTTTGTGGGGGGACGTCTCAGCCGGACCACCGGTCTTGTCCCCGATTCCTCTGGTTGGAGGGCCCCCGTGGCCAGGGCGGTGCAGCAGGCGTTGCTGTCGGGCACCTCGGGGGTGAGCCGCCGGGCGTCAGGGCACGTGCCCGTTCGCGCTCAGACTGTGGGGGCGTCTCAAGCGACACGCTGGTCTTACCCTTACGTCGGGCCTGTCCCTCTACAGGAGGAGTATCCGAAAATAGTTCAAAATTCGTCCAGGAACGTTTTTTTTTTTTTTTTTTTTTGTTTCTTGGTTTTTTTGGGGTAAATTTGTATTGTGTGTATTTATATACATATATATATATATGTATGTATGTATGTGTCTGTCTGTCTGTGTGTGTGTGTGTTAATATCTATAACAGTAAACTAAATCAATAAAGAAAAGCGTAAAACTCGCCCAAAATCCGCCTGTAGGCCCGGCCTAGTCTTCCCCCTCCCCTGGCTCCTTTGTTTTGATCGTCCCACGATGGCCGCGATGTATGTAGCAATCCGACCTGTCTGGCGCCAATGGGGCCGCCACGGCTGCCCGTTCGCGCCCAGATTGTGGGGGCGTCTCCAGCGAAAGGCTGTTTTGCCCCCTCCCCCCCCTCCCCCCCCCACTACCGCGCCCCCCGATTTCTTTTTTTTGACGCCCTCGTGTTAATTATGATGTTGCAGGCAGAGCTTTGAGGTACCCCACGGAGGAACCGCCATGGAGTAGACCACTTGTCCGTTTGCGCCCAGGTCATGGGGACGCTTCAGACGAAACGCTGATTTTGCCTCCCCCCCCTTGATTCCGCTGTGTCAGAGCCCCATGTTCACGGCGATGTCGCAGGCGTATCCTTGTGGCACCCCAGTGGGGGAGTTAGGACGCTTTCCAGTTCGCGCTCAGATCGTGGGAGCGTCTCAAGCGAAAAACTGGTTTTGCCCCGACGGGCTTCGTTGTGAGGGTCCCATGACCTCCGCGATGTAGCGCGTGTAACGCTCGGGCACTCAAATGGGGGAACCGCCAAGGGGGTCGGTCTCTTGCACGTTCGCACCCAGATTGTGGAGATGTTCCAAGCGAAACCTTGGTTCTGCCTCCCGATTCTTTGACTTTGAGAACTTCATGATCGCCTCGATGAAGCAGGCATCGCTTTTGGCACCTCAAGTGGGGGGGTGGGCAGGGGGTGTTGCACACCGCCCGCGCCCAGACTGCGGATCGTCTTGACCGAAAGATTGGCTTGTAGAGGTGGGCGCGCTTCCTTTCATGACCCCCACGAGCACTGCGATGTGTGCACCTTGGCCGCCCGGAGGGAGCCGTCAAGGGGGCAACTGTGCGGGCCCTTCCGTGCCCAGATCGTGGGAACGCCTCGAGCGAGGCAGAGCTCTGCGGTCGGGGCCCTGGCATCGCTCGGACGTGTGCATTTTTCCTTCGGCGAGGACCATCGAGGAGCATCCTTGATCATTCGGCGAAAAAGCCACGCACGAAACCGAACAAAGACACAGGGAATGGACGTCCGAGCGATGGCGAGTGAAGGATCCCTGAGGGAAACCTGAAGGATTCCTCAAGGATCCCTGAAGGATTCCTGGAGGATGCCTGGAGTATCCCTGGAGGATGCCTGGAGGATTCCTGGAGGATGCCTGGAGGATTCCTGGAGGACCACTGGAGGATTCCTCAAGGATTCCTGAAGGCGAGGGGCACGCTCGTCTCGCGGCAGAAGCCTACGGCCACCGGGATGCAGCAAGGGCAGGGCACTCGGGTTTATATCCGAGGGGAGAGCCTGCCGGCGGCGCAGAGCGGGCCCCGTGGCCTGCTCTGTCGCAGACTCAGTTGCAGCCAGACCCGCTCGTGCTCGCTCGCTCGCTCGCTCGCTCGCTCGCTCGCTCGCTCGCTCCTCCTCCTCCTCCTCCTCCTCCTCCTCTCCTCCTCCTCCTCCCCCCTCTACCATTCCTCCACACGTGCCTGGGTCCTCTTTCTCCTCCTCCGCCTCCTCCTCCTCCTCCTCCTCCGTCTCCTCCTCCTCCTCTTCCTCCTCCTCCTCCTCCTCCTCCTCCTCCTCCTCAACGCGTTCGCTCGTACTCGGACACTCACGCGCAGGCAACTCGCCAGAGCAGAGACGTAAGACTTGGCTTCTCCGCGTCGAGTGCTGTCGGTGGCCAGGTGTTATTGAGCATTCTCCCTTGCCCCTCCTCCCGATGACGCTCCCTTGGGCCACGACTCTCTTGAGCCCTCCCAGGGCTTTCTCGCTCTCCCTTGCCCTGGCTCTCCGTCAGGCCATGTCCCTGGGCCGCGGGGTTGAAGCAAAACAGGCTGCCGCAGCAGGGAGGGGAGGTGGCAGAAGAGTCCATCATGTGGCACTGCATGGTGCTCAAGATGGCGTTGGGGCAGTATGAATTTCCGGAAACTACTCCCGACGTGTGGGGCGTGGGCGAGAATTGCCCCGGTGGCAGGGGCGGGTCAAGCGCTGCCTGCATTCAGTAGTGGGAAGGGATATCTACGCCGCCACCAGCACAAGCCCAGCCACTCCCCAGACCCCATCGTACCTCTGCTGCATGGGCTGTTTTATGGTCGGGACCGGTTCGTCCTTCGGCGGTGATGATGCAGGTGTTGATTGTAAGGATGATGGTGTTGGTGGTGATAATGCCTAGTGCTCGCCATCTTGTTGCAGATCGGCTGCTTTTGACCATGGCCGAACGGACAAAAGGTACGCCCTACCATGGCCATCTTTGCTCGCGTCTCATGTGCGCGTCCTGGGGGTGGCCGGAGTACCGCCCCGGGTTGCCAGTCAGCGGGGGCCCGTGGCACACCCCCGCCTGGCCCTTGCCTGGGGGGAGGTGTAGACCCTTCTCCGAAGGGGAAGAAGGGGTTGGAAAATGAAGCGCGTCAGACTACCTCCGCCCAGAGGTCCACCGGGATTTTGTTTATTTTTTTGGCGCTTCGAATGAGCCCTACAGCCGGCGCCGATCCGAATGTCAGGCGACTTGTCTTGAGCAGTGAAGTGTGGGAGCATGTAGTGAAACATAAGGGGGGCGGCCGTGAAACCGACTCTTGGGATCGGCCCGAGCAGATCCTCAGATCAGCGACGGGGCTCTCTTGGGCCCCAGAGGGACCATCATGGGTCTCCATAAGTCAATTGGACGCGAAAAAGCGCGAAGACGCAAATCGCACACGTTTCCAATCTCAAGTTTTTTTGTCATCTTATGGGCATTCTTTTGGCACGTGGCCATCTCGAACTACCTCACGTCACGTCGGAGGCCATCTTGGGCAATCTTCTGGGCCCATCTCGAGAGTTGTCTTGCCTTGCGCCAGCGGGGACCATCTGATATCTCGCGCACCCCCTGTCCAGAACATGGGTCAAAGAAGAACAAAAGCACATAACCATAAACTTTTGGCGCTCCGCGCGGATTTCTTGGATCCGCGCTGGGCCCCCGGGGCGGCGCCTCCGGCGCCGCCCCTGGCGCGCTCCGCGCGCCAGGGAGGGGGATTCCAGCGCGGATCCAAGGAATCCGCGCGGAGCGCCCAAAGTTTGTGCTTATGTGTTTTTTTCCTCTTCTAGGGGGGGGGAGACGGGGTCTTGGAAGAGCTGATCTACTGGACCGCGGGGGCGGGTGGTTTTCACATCCACATCTTTGGCCACGGACTCTCCTACTGCCAGCAGGAGGGGGTCGTGGCCACGGGCGCAGACGCACAGGGCGGGAGGGGGCGGAGGGGGGAGATTGCGGAGGGCCGAGCCCCGTGCAGCGCACAAGGCGTGCTGAGTTTTTTTTTTGTTTTTCTTCAAAAACCTCTCTCTCTCTCGAATAATAATAATAATAAGGTTAATATTAATAAGAAGAAGAATAATAATAATAATAATAATAATAATCATAATAATAATAAGAATAATAATAATAAGAAGAATAATAAGAAAAATAATAAGAATAATAATACTACTACTAATAATAAGAATCATAATCATATCAATAATAATAAGAATAAGACCTACCCTGGTGCAGAACCCAACCCGTTCTGTGGACGCGGAGCCGTGAAAATGACCCACGAGACCGCTCAATGCACACGAGCTCGTTAGGGTTAAATTGGGCCTGTCCCTCTACAGGGGGAACATTCAAAACTAGTCCCAAAATAGTTTGGGGACTATTTTTGGAGTATTGTTTGTCTATCTTAGATTTTTTATATAATTACCATTTCTGATTTTTCGTCCAAAATCCGCCTGCGGGGGACATGCCCGACCTAACGTTAGGGTCTCCGCAGTGCCCCGGACAACTTCGCCAAAGAACGTCGGAGCAGGCTCGGAACGCACTCGCTCGCGCGACTCGTATTTTCGCGCGGGACAGGTTGGACGTGTACGATTGGCGCGGAGCACGAGGGGGGGGGCCAGCAGAGAAGCCAAACCGATGCGTGAGAGGGGGGCTGCGTGTCAGAGTGGGCACGAGTACGCACGCGACCTCTGCCGCTGGGGCCTTCGGCGGAGCTCCCCGTGGGAGCAGGGAGCGTGCAAGGGGTGTGCCAAAATGGACTCGGGTACGCGTGCGAACCCTGCCACTGGGGCCCTCGGTGCAGCTCCCTATGGGGCCACGGAACGTGTGGGGTGTGTGCGGGCCAGCATGGACTCGGGTACGCATGCGAACCCTGCCACTGGGGCCTTCGGTGGAGCTCCCCATGGGAGCACGAAGCGTGCAAGGGGTGTGCCAACATGGACCCAGGTACGCATGCGAACCCTGCCACTGGGGCCCTCGGTGGAGCTCCCTACGGGGCCACGAAGCGTGAGAAGAATCTGCCGACATGGAGCTGGTACCCATGTCACCCTGCCTCTGGGGCCCTCGGTGGAGCCCCCAATGGGTCCACCAAACGTGTGAGGGGTCTGCCCAACTGGGGCGGGTTCCCATGTGAACCCTACCACTGGAGCCCTCGGTGGAGCCCCCTATGGGACAACGAAACGTGTGAGGGGTCTGCCCAAATGGGGCGGGCACCTATGTGAACCCTGCTACTGGGGCCCTCGGTGGAGCTCCCTGTGGGGCCACGAAGCGTGTAAGGTGTCCGCCAAAATGCCCACCTATGGGGCCACGAAAGTGTGAGGGTCTACCGAGATGGGGCGGGTACCCATGTGAACCCTGCCATTGAGGCCCTCGGTGGTCTGCCAAAATGCGAAAAGGCAAAAGAGAAGAGGAGGATGAGGCCTCGTGCACTGCTGCAGCCGTCGCTGGGGCCTTCGGTGGAGCTCCCTAGGGGGATACGAACCGTGTGAGGGGTGTGACGAACATGCGATGATAATGATGAGGGTGGTGAGTGATATCAACATGATGATGATGCTGATGCTGATGATGATGATGATGCTGATGATGATGCTGATGATGATGATGCTGATGATGATGATGACGATCATGATGATGCTGATGCTGCTGCTGGTGATGATGCTGATGATTCTGATGATGATGATAATGCTACTGCTGGTGATCATGATTCTGATGCTG